GAGGTGTTTTTGTACTGTTACGTGATCGTCTTTTATTTTATTTTACCCGTGAACCAAAAAGCATAATATAATATAATATAATATTGTTGTCTTTCCAAATTATGTCATCTATTGGTCATAGCAAACAAAGGCATTCCAGTTTAATACAAAAAATAATAGGAGAACTCGATGGTTTATAATCAGTGTATCCCACCCACCATTTCAGTTTACACATGTGATATCCCGTTAGTAGTACATGCATAACACGTAAAAGTCTTTTGAATGAAATGTTTCTTAAAATCAAATTGATTTTCTGCTCAGTTATTTAGTTTGTTGTTATATTTTTTAATTGTGAAACATATTTCGTTAAACACAATTTAGCATATATATGTGTACTATATATAATAATGTAGTGGATAGTGCTATTCATAATATATATGCCGTACTTGAGTTTATATTTTTGATTAATAGTTAATGTTAATTTACACTTTTTTGGTGCGATGTTGTGTGTCTGAATATGTACCTAAACATACCCTTAGCATATTTATGTAAGCTGGGTTTAGTTAAATGCATGTTCACTATATATATTAACACTTCGATAATTTATAATTTCGTAAAAAAAATAATAATATACATTTTTGATGTGTGTATCTTTTTTCAGTGACACCTACACCTATCAGTACAGCTATCGTGTCTACAGTACTCCCTGGAACTGATTCAGGTGAGAGCTATCAACAATCTGTTTCAATAATTTACAGCCTGCTTCTTGGAGAGTATTGCCGACATAGCATTTTAAAATATGACATCATTGTTGATTATATATATATATGATGCATACATTTAAATGATGTAGTAATTTAACTTATATAAGAACATGATATTACATTTTCGTAATATCGTTCCTCGCGTCAAAAGCAATACAAATACAAAACTGATCTCACCCATAGAATGTCAAAACCACCATAGCAGAAACCGTTTTATTATTCCATCCATGTTGTTACCCAATGTCATGCAGATTTTGTGAACAAATCGCATTGTAGAATAAAAATGCCATCGACAAGTTTTGTAATACAAGTACGCACAAACAGTTAACTTGTGAGTAATATACTTTTTGTTTTGTGTTTTTCTTTCAGTCACAGCTACAACAACTCTACCTGCAACAGTATCTACAACTGAATCGGGTAAGAAAAATACTTATTTCTAGTCAACATCTCGTTTCGACAATGGCAACAAAAACTTTTGTCTACATTGCATTTTAAAATGTTAAGCCTTGCATTAATTTAATTTATATGAGAACAAGATTTCACATTTGTGTATACGTTGAAGCAACTCATCGCATCACGGCCAGTTATGACGTGTCGTAGCAGTTTATGTGACTCCACGACTACGAATACACAGTGTTTAGTTGAGATGGAGTCTGGTTTGTTCAGATTGAAACATTCAACATGTTAAAACGCCTAGAGTCATGGATGCGATTAGATGTGTGCAACCGGTATTGGCAATGAGATAGCTGGTTCTAAGCACATGACACATTAAAACATATCACATACTTGGCAAATCCAATTTGGCCAATAATATATGAGATAATATCCCTTATACGCAATTTAAGTCATATCTCATTATGGTCACTCGTTTGATAAAAACAGGAGCGGGATTGTTCAGCAAATTAACGAACTTTTAGTCTATATCGGATTTGCCTATAATGTGTTTATTTACAGTCTATAACCATTAGAGCAGTATTGTTGCAGAATACAGGGTATTACGTAATTCGCAATCAACGAACTGCATCAGTCGTAATATTGTTTACAACCCTTTTCTGATCTACATCAACACTAAGCTGTCACAAGACAAAAGTAAACACTATAACTGCTTCGGCAGGATACGTTATGAAGAGCGACAAAAACTGTGCTTGCTAGGCACGCGTATGAGACTGCATTATACTATATGTTAGCATGCATGTAATTGATTTAAACCAGGCCTATATATTTTTTCTCGAGACGATAGCATGTACCTGAATATGTATAAAACTATAATAATATAAGTAACAAGAAACAAATATGGAGTCTTGCATACTGCGAGACTCCTTATGCCCAAATGCATTCCATCTGAGTATGCAAAAACACACTACATTGAAATTCGATGGACCAGTTGTTATTAATTAATGAACACGTGCCGTACAATCTTAGGACGGAACAGCCTGATTTATATGCAAATTCCTTACCCTTTATCATTTTGCAACCTACCAAATTTGGTATTTACAAACTGACACACTACTCGACTATGATATGTTCTGAGTGACAAAATTAATTCCGTGAATGAAATGTATTTGCAGTTCCAAAGCCACGTGGTCAGAAGTTAGTTATCGATGCATCATCAGACGTGTCTGTTACTACACCCATGCCTGAAATGCAAGAGTTGTCAGCTTGTTTGTGGTTAAAAACAAAAGTTACCAACAAGGGGACACCAATATCTTATGCTGTCAGTGGAAGCTTTAGTGAGTTCGTTCTATATGACACTAGTAATTTGGAAGTCTTTGTACGACTGAGTGGTGGTGGCAACAGTGGCATTTTCGTGCATGACAATGAATGGCACCATTTGTGTGTCACTTGGTCATCTAATGGTGGTAGGTGGCGTATATATGACAATGGTGCTTTGGGTGCCTCTGGTTTCAATCTTCAGAGTGGTAACATAATCAGAGGAGGTGGTGTCCTGATTATTGGTCAAGAACAAGACAGCTTAGGTGGTGGATATGATTCTAGCCAGGCATTGAAAGGCGAAATGACGTTTTTCAATATGTATAGCAGAATTCTGAGTGATGATGAAATAGGGCAACTCGCTGCAGAGTGTAATGGTGAAACAGAAGGTGACCTGTTTGCTTGGAGTTTGGATAATCTTGATCTTGGTGGTAGTGTTGAAGTTCTTGAAGCAGATATATGTCGTAAGTATTGCTGATTCTCATAGTGCTATTGTCATTGTAATCTACTACATGTGTAAGTAAGAACATGGAAGTGTGTCAAATAGTTAGTTTGTAGATAGGTGTGTATGAAATGTTTGATTGGTACAATGATAACCAATATTTGTAATATTGGATGTAAATGCAAGATATACATATGTCACGGTAACCAATTTAACATTTACCATAGTGCGGTGATTTATTTTTTTAATTCAATGATCATTGTATATAAACACAACAACCACCTTTACTTAGAGTGTATGTAGTATACATTGACATTAAGTTCTAATGGAATGTTTTTTTTTTAAATACATTTGTTTTTCAGTTGAATGGACAGGTGATGAGAAGTTAGTTGTTAATGCATGGTCAGACGTGGCTATTAGAACACCCATTCCTGAACTGAGAGAGTTTTCAGCTTGTTTGTGGGTAAAAACAAAAGAAACCAACCAAGGGACGCCAATATCCTATGCTATAAGTGGAAGCATGAATGAGTTTATCCTAATAGATACCAGTGACTTGAGAGTCGTTGTACGAGACAGTAATGGTGGCAACAGTGGTATTGGTGTGAATGATGATGATTGGCACCATTTGTGTGTCACGTGGTCATTTAATGGTGGTATGTGGGGTATCTATGATGATGGTGCTTTGGCTGCATCTGGTTCAAGTCTTCAAAGCGGTTATGTCATCCAAGGCGGTGGCGTACTGATCCTTGGCCAGGAACAAGACAGCTTACGTGGTGGATATGAGTCTAGCCAGACATTGAAAGGAGAGCTGACATACTTCAATATGTGGAGCAGAATTCTGAGTGATGATGAAATAGGGCAACTCGCAGCAGAGTGTAATGGTGAAACAGAAGGTGACCTGTTTGCTTGGAGTTCAGGTGATATTGATCTAGATGGTCGTTATGAAACTCTTCCAGCGGATGTATGTTGTAAGTTATAATAATATTATTGGCAACAATTTGTCTCTTCTAGTTGTTCATATTTCATACCATGTTTCAATGCCTACAATGAAGACCGTTCTATGTTGCGAAATGATTATTCTTGTGTCACTGTCATAGTGCCTCACAATTAGACAATTTCATCAGAATAACATTTTTTGGTCAGTACATAATTATTATTCGAATTTCTCCATATTCAATACAAACGTAATGTAATATGATGTGAGGAGGGTTTTCTAAGGTGCAATGGTTACACTAATGTGTATAACATCTTTACTTTTAGATTAACAGATGTGATTCTTTCACCACATACTAGAACATTGTGATTGTCATACATTATCAGGAACCACGTGTCAGTATAGTTTGTGTAGTTCAGGTTCGCCACTTTTTACCTATGATTCTAAGCACGCTCTGACACGTCGTTCAATTTCTTGTACAAGAACCCAGTACTTTATTCAAGCTAATGTCACTTCTCTGTGCATAGTGAGTGACTTTATCCACGGGATAGTTTTAATTTCATTCATTGAAACGATAGATTGTAGTATTTAAATACATTCATTGAGTTGTATTTCACTGGATTTTGTGCACTAACATATTTCATTATTTTGTTGAGAAAATAACTCAATATATGCAGCCTTATGATGGTTAAGGTTTTTAAGTCATGAGTCATTGCAAACAATCTAGCATGCAGTTACTGACTTATTTAAAGTGTACGTGAGTGAGTGAATGGTTTTGTATGATATATTTAGATTTTCTATAATATTAACTTTAGAGCTAAAGGTTGCTTCGTGTATATTAATAACATGTTTTTTTTAAATACAGTTGCCGTTCCATGGACAGGTACTGAGAAGATAGTTGTTGATGCATCATCAGATGTGGCTATAACCACACCTATCCCCGAACTAAGAGACGTTTCAGCTTGTTTGTGGATAAAAACAAAAGAAACCAACAAGGGCACACCAATATCCTATGCTGTCAGTGGAAGCTTTAGTGAGTTCGTTCTGTATGATACCAGTAATTTGCAAATCTATGTACAACTGAGTGGTGGTGGCAAGAATGGTATTTCTGTACATGACAATGACTGGCACCATTTGTGTGTAACTTGGTCCTCTAGTGGTGGCCTTTGGCGTATATATGACAATGGGGTTTTGGCTACAGCTGGTTCAGATCTAGAAAGTGACAATGTAATCAGAGGAGGTGGTGTACTGGTACTTGGCCAGGAACAAGACAGCTTACGTGGTGGATATGAGTCTACTCAGGCATTTAAAGGGGAAATGGCATACTTCAATATGTGGGGCAGAATTCTGAGTGATGACGAAATAGGGCAACTCGCAGCAGAGTGTAATGGTGAAACAGAAGGTGATCTGTTTGCTTGGAGTTCGGGTAATATTGATCTTGATGGAAGTTATGAAACTCTTCCAGCTGATATATGTCGTAAGTTATAATAATATTAGTGGCCTATATATTCAAAGTCAAGTTATCAAAGTTCCAGTATATATTGTGAATGTAATGCAATATTATGTAACACGTATTCTTGTTTTACATTAACTCATGCAATAATTCCAAAAACAAATTTGGACAATTTCAAGTTAAACCTAATGGACACAAAGGTAGTACATTTCAATACAACAACAACATACTAGGGGCACTCATTGTACAATTATTTATAAAATAATTGTATTCTATTCATTTTTTTTCAATTTACACATGTGATCTAACATTAATAGTATATGTATCCTACATTATAATACTATTTTAATTTAATGTTCTTGAAATCCAATTAAATTTCAGTTCAGTGGACAGGTGACGAGAAGTTAGTTGTTGATGTATCATCTGACGTGGCTATTAGAACACCCATCCCTGAACTGAGTGAGTTAACAGCTTGTCTGTGGGTAAAAACGAAAGAATCCAACCAGGGGACACCAATATCTTATGCTATCAGTGGAAGCTTTAATGAGTTCAGCCTATTCGATACCACTGATTTGAGAGTCGTTGTACGAGACAGTGATGGTGGAAACAGTGGTATTGATGTGAATGATAATGATTGGCACCATTTGTGTGTCACGTGGTCATCTAATGGCGGTCTATGGGAAATATTTGACAATGGTGTTTTGGTTGCTGTCGGTTCAGGTCTTCGGAGTGGTTATGTAATCAGAGCAGATGGTGTACTGGTACTTGGCCAGGAACAAGACAGTTTACGTGGTGGATATGAATCCAGTCAGGCATTGAAAGGAGAAATTGCGTACTTCAATATGTGGAGCAGAATTCTGAGTGATGAGGAAATAGAACAACTCGCAGAAGAGTGTAATGGTGAAACAGAAGGTGACCTGTTTGCTTGGAGTTCAGGTGATATTGATCTTGACGGCACTTATGAAACTTTTGCAGCTGATATATGTAGTAAGTTATAATTATATTGTTGGCATCTATGTGTTCATTCTAGTTGTTCATATTCTATACTATATTTCAATACCTACAATGAAAACCGTTTGATAATGTGCAATGATTATTGTTTTGTTACTGTCACAGTGCAACACAATTAGATATTCACAGTATATCATTCTTGGTAACAGCATTATTCGAATCTTGTCATATCCAATATAAATTGTAATGCGGGTTAGGGGGGTGATTCAATGGTGAAATGTTTGAACAAATTCACCTTTACTTATCGAGTGAGTATGTATGTTTGTATGCTACTATTCTTGCTCTTTCTAGTTCGTGGTTGTTTTGTTCATAATAATCATGATGAATGTAATAACACAGTTGATGGTGACATGACAACCAACTATTGTTAAAATCTACAGCATGGTACCACAATGTTGGCCAGTGATGTTAATTTAAATACTATTATATATGGAGATTAAAACAATAATTGCTCTATGCCAAAAAGCTTTCTGCGTTCAATCTTAGTATAATAATTTCATTATTTGTAGTTGTTCTAATTGAATGTTTTTTAAATACTATTCAGTTGCTGTTCCATGGACAGGTAATGAGAAAATAGTCGTTGATGCATCATCAGATGTGGCTATTACCACACCCATCCCTGAACTGAGTGACGTGTCAGCTTGTTTGTGGGTAAAAACAGCAGAAGCCAACCAGGGGACACCACTATCCTACGCTATCAGTGGAGGCTTCAATGAGTTCAACCTATTCGATACCAGTGATTTAAAAGTCAGTGTACGAGAGAGTAGTGGCCGCAACAGTGGCATTTCCGTAAATGACAATGTTTGGCACCATTTGTGTGTTACTTGGTCATCGAGTGATGGCCTGTGGGGTATCTATGACAACGGTAATTTGGCTGAATCCGGTTCAGGTCTTGAAATTGATAAAGTAATTAGAGGCGGTGGTGTACTGGTACTTGGCCAGGAACAAGACAGTTTACGTGGTGGATATGAGTCTAGTCAGGCATTGAAAGGAGAAATGGCGCACTTCAATATGTGGAGCAGAATTCTGAGTGATAATGAAATTGGGCAAATTGCAGCAGATTGTAATGGTGAAACAGAAGGTGCCCTGTTTGCTTGGAGTTCGGGTGATATTGATCTAGACGGCACATATGAAACTTTTCCAGCTGATCTATGTCGTAAGTAATTATACTACTGTTGTTTTTCTTTCGCTAATTCAAAAATATACAAGAAATATATTGCAATATTATGTAGCATGTGTACCTATTTTACAGACATTAACGCACAGAACAAATCTGTTTGTCGTAAAGGTTTAATGCAGACAATAGTAGGTGCTCTCAATAATTTGTATAATTACACCGATCTTTTTAAATTTATACAACGGACCTCCCAGCAACAGCATATGTGTGCCTTATTATTATACATTTGGAATGAAATATTTCTCGGAATCCAATTGACATTCAGTTCAGTTGACAGGTAATGAGGAGTTAGTTGTTGATGTAAATAATTTGTTATGCCACATGTAGCATACAACTTTACTAAGTATATTAAAGTAGTAAGTAGTGTTATCAATTATATGCATGCCGTTTAATATTTGATATTTCGATTAAAAGGTAAGGATGGGTATGTTCAGGATTAACATTATGAGATGTAATCTGATGTGTGTGTGTGTGTGTGTGTGTGTATTTGAATTTGTACTCGTAAAGGTTTTATTAATTAAATGTTAATTAGTTCATGTTTTATCAGTGCCTATGTTGTGCACCTTCATTTTCGTCTCACTGTTCTCGACAATGTTTTATAGGTTATAGTCGTTTGCTATTCAAATAGGTTCCCCTCTGATAAGGTATACGTGTAGCAGAATGCATTGGTTTGCTGTACAATGGATGGATATAATGTGAAGGTTTATTGCATTGCAATATCAAAGCTGGCTGCTGTTTACTTTGTCACGGATCACGGCATAATTGTGCTAAAGTTGTTAATTTGTTGGTGTCAAGTTCATTTCTTTAAAGAATGTTGATGTCCTACATATAATCAATATAACATAATATAAAGGAACCTGAATGACAATTACGATTACTTGTACTTGCCTATGTGCATGCACGATAACAAGTAAGACAAATTATTTGAAACAGCAATACATCTCTAATACTGACAGCTGCCATGTGTATCATTGTGCACTAAGGGGATGGGAGGGGAATAAGAGGAAGATTTCACAAAATGGAAAGCAAAAACGTTTTAAAACTATTTTGGAATTGACCTACACAAATAAAGTATATCAAGACACACTAGAATTATTTCTCAGTACTTACACACTAGAACAAGACAGATTCCAATGTATGTTGAATGATGTCAATACAATAATATGAAGTTTTGGCAGTCATGCAATATGAGCCAAAACTGCAGATTTAATTTCATGACAATATAACAGTTAGGTACAAGAACTCACTGAACCTCGACAACAAACAAAACTCCTGCCTGATATGTAAATAAATAAGTATTCGAAGTGAATGGACAAACATCCACACGGTCACACACCTAAATTTACCCTTCCATAGAAGCGCATGTAAATTGCACACAATGGATGCCAACATTTAGACATGCTAAATTTCTGACAAATGCGATGCACAGAGATGTTAATCTTGCCACCCGACCAAGTTAGCCATCTGATTTTCATAAAGATTAGCAAATAATGTGATGCCGGCAAACTTGTAGTGCGTAAACCGAGGGAATCCGAAAAAAACTGGGCCAAAATAAATGTTACAACTCACCGTTTCTTCGAGAATATCAAATTTGGTAATTCTCTCTTTGTATTTTGGGTCACAAATGATACCTAGAAGTTATTGCTAGTCCTGAAATTAATTCACACATTAATTCTAGTGCTTGTTGAAACAACGTTAATTACAGGCGTGGATAATCGGTTACAGGTATGTAAGAAAGACCAAAATTATGAGTAATATTACTTTTTTTCAGTTACGCCTGCACCAACTACGATACCTACATCAACCCCCACAACTGAATCAGGTAAAAGCTTTTTTCAAATGTCAATATTTCGTTTCATTCGTTTACTGACTTTGCCTCTGTATTATTGCCATTTCAGAGTTTGAAAACATTGTTGATTTAAGGAAAATGATCCATTAATTGGTGTCTACGTTAATTACAACACGGCATGCTATGACGAGTCGTAGCAGTGTGGGTCCGGCTCCACAAATGTTCAGTGTTTAGTCAAAATGAATTCAACATTTGAACATTCAACATTTAAAACGTATGAATTCATGGATACGTTGATAAGCGATGATGTCGTTTATTGCCGACTGCATCCAAGTGGTTCTGGCACTTCTATCATTATATTCAATGATGTAAAACGACACATGACTCATTAGTGACGGAATTCCGAATGGAAGAGCAAGACGACAGACTGGTCATAAATTAAATTTACACATTTGTAATAATTTCGAGGTATACTGTAAAATACTTTAGTTTAGCTGGAATTAATTTTTCGCTGAAAAAAAAACTGTTTAGGCGTTTTGTATAAAAATTCACTGATTTTTGACGAGTTGAATGTAAAATAAAAAGGTATATTCACTGGATTGTTTTCACTGATCATCCCTTCAGCGAAAATAGCGAAAATTAATTCTAAGCGAAAATAAAGTATTTTACAGTACTGTAAGACAAAGGATTTTGTAAAATATTGTTCAGTGCATTTTGCAATGAAATGGCATTGATGCATTTTGTACATTTGCTCGTCAATAGATTAATAAATTATTATGTCATAATTGTTTGAGAATTTAGGAATAATATACATTTGTGTTCGTCTTTCAGAAACAACTGCACCAGTCATTACAACTACTATACTTACAACGGTCTTTACAACTGAATCGGGTGAGCGCAATGTTGTTTTCATGTTAAAATTTTATTTTTATAATTTGCTGCTTGTTTCAGCAGAAACTATTGCGATGATATGTGTCAGAACTTGTATGTGTGTGGTTGTTACCGACTGCGCCCAACTGGACAATTGTATTCAACAGGGGTAACATAGTCTAATCATATAACTTCAGTCAATATGCGGAATTCTGAACGGACAAGAAAGAATACAGGCTATTCTGAATTGTTCAAACCGTTTTTTTTTTTACAACTGATACAAAACAAACGCAATTTCGTGTTCACAATGTAAACAGGTTTTAAATTAGGCGTTTTTGTGATAAATTGAATTCACACATTTACTGTGATAAAAAGGATGTTTTGTAAAAATCATTCAGTGCATTATGAAGGCTTAATTGTCGCGTTATCAAGCCTTCGAGTCAGATACCAGTGATCGGAAGTTTCGCCACCCTTTCAATCGAACAAAGACACACAGAGAATCGAATTGTGTCAATTGGGTCTCAGCCGCGTTGTAACTCTCTCCCGGCCGCGTTAAGACTTGGGCCTCTTCGAGAGCTTGCCACAACTAACTGAGATCGGTTTTATTCACATTCCGACTGTTAACTAATTACAGAGTAGTTTAAGAGCTCGAGGCGTAGCCTCAACACATATAGACAATCACACAAAGTATTTAACACGCCTTAATGTCTGATTAATTGCCTCCGATGTCGGGACATAACTCTCATAGTTATAGGCGTCTTGTTATTTCAACTAATATTCCGTATCCGACAATTATAACCGCCAGTTGTCTTTTTGGTTAATCCCACTCACATGCCATGAACGCTATCATGATAAATTGTAAGCAGATGCAGATTATCCAGGGGTCATCATTGAAAGTCCCTATGACCGCTAAAAGTGGCCTCACCCAAAGACATGAAAATATGAATCATGACAGCACTTTGAAATAAAAAATGACCTTGACACGTTTAGTTGTAGTGAGAGGTTAAATTCTTGTTATTATCGTTGAAGGACGATGTTTATTTAGTGTGCGTTAAAAGGTGGATGGGTCTGATGCGTATTGTATTGTCATGAGTATGGCAATGTACCCGGTATTAGAAATCTCTCCTGTGGCACAATTTCATCTCTTCATCTGCCGTGTTAGTCTTGTTTATAGGTGAGATGGTGATGTTTACTTATAACAATCGTAATATGCTTCGTTTGAAAACCAAGTGGTTATGTCATCTCAAATTATTTTCGAGTGCGAGGTATCATCTGTGGTGGGAAATGAACACAAGAGATTACCGTGTATTGTGCTTTGTTGAGTGTGTTTATGGTAATGCTAATACGAGTAATATTAGAGATGGTCGTGTGGAATGGGATACTATGGTTCTTAGCGTATTCTATATATCAATATTTATATCTGTTTGTATAAACAATTGTATTGGACCACGGGCATAATGGATCATATAACATCTCAATGTTTTTGTCTCAAACTGTTAAGACTAGCCCTGCATTGAATCAATGTAATTGAAATGCAGTAAAATACGCAGTAGCCAGTTTGATAAGCTGTGATATATCATTTTTAAGTGAAGGTTTCTTCAATTTTTTGTAAATTCAATACGGTTTAACAAATCGTATTTCTTTTTACACTGTTTGTATATGTAGGATGTATGTTAGACTGTCGTTCTTCTGATAAAAAGGAGCATCGAAGTAGAGCAAAACACAAGAACATATATTATAACTCTTAAATATTGGAAATTAGAGTTGACAGATGAATTAATATTAGTATTGTCACAGTTTCTTTTGCATGGTGATGAGATCCACTTCAATGGCAGAAATGAAAACCGAGATTTCAATTTTGTTAGTTGCAAATCCAGGTGATTGGGTCAGTGTATTTAAAACTATTGAATTTGAAGTTGTAGAATTTGTGTAATTTGTTGTTCTTCTGTTTCTCCAAGAATAAAGTTCGGCTTCTAAATGTCAGATTGGCCATCAGGGCTAGCCATGTGATAATCTTTATACGAAATTAGGCCTTATCACAGTTCTTACTCATTTGATATTGACCAACTGGCTAACTGGTCCATTTATGTCTATAGTTTGCTCATTGAATCTATCTGTTTCCATACTTCCTAATTATGATTAAATTGTAAAATAGTTTATCAACATTTGTATATATTACAATACAATTATTTTGCAGCTCAAGGGGCAAGAGGTGAAAAGTTACTAGTTGATGCATCATCTGACGTGGCTGTTACTACACCCATCCCCGAAATGTCAGAGTTGTCAGCGTGTTTGTGGTTAAAAACAAAAGTTACCAACAAAGGGACACCAATATCTTATGCTGTCAGTGGAAGCTTTAGTGAGTTTGTTCTATACGACACTAGTAATTTGGAACTCTATGTACGACTGAGTGGTGGTGGCGACAGTGGCATTTCTGTACATGACAATGAATGGCACCATTTGTGTGTCACTTGGTCATCTAATGGCGGTACATGGGCTATATATGACAATGGTGGTTTGGGGGCTTCTGGTTTAAATCTTCGGAGTGGTAGCTCAATCAGAGGTGGTGGTGTCCTGATTATTGGCCAAGAACAAGACAGCTTAGGTGGTGGATATGACTCTAACCAGGCATTGAAAGGTGAAATGACGTATTTCAATATGTGGAGCAGAATTCTGAGTGATGATGAAATAGGGCAACTCGCTGCAGAGTGTAATGGTGAAACAGAAGGTGATCTGTTTGCTTGGAGTTTGGATAATCTTGATCTTGGTGGTAGTGTTGAAGCTCTTGAAGCAGATATATGTCGTAAGTTATAATAATGACTATTGGTGATTCGCCTAATAATACCACACACACACCGATGTCTGGACATAACAAAATAAAGTAGGACGTTTGTGGCTATTCAATATAAACAATTATGGACAGTGCCAAGTCCTCCGCAGTGCAATTTATTACACAATGTGTGAAACATTTTTTGAGTACCACAGATGATATGGCATACTTCATTAGTGAGATAATAGATTGCAGTCATAAATTCCATTGGCTCTAAAGATATCGACTCAATAATTGCGTGAATCACGAGAGGAAATTGAAATCGTTCTTCTCAGGGTCTCTCCTGATTTACACACAAGCATATTTGTTATTGCAACCTACCTATGTAAGTGATTGCGTTGGAGTGGGAAAATCATTTAGTTTGGTTTGTATAAAAGGTTTGGTACAATTTGCAACCAATAATTTAATTATTGCTTTGAAAATTCAAAGGAGATGGTTGTATTTACAAGATTTATATTGCCATGGTAACCAATTTAACAACTACCATAAACTATGACTTATTTTTTTTAAGATTTTGCCTAAAATATTCATCAGTTCTTTTTCACTGTGATAGGCATAATGATACTAAAATATACTAATATAAACTAATATACTAAAGGTATATGCAGTATATATTAATTTTAATGAGATGTTTTTAAATGAAATTGATTTTCAGTTGAATGGATAGGTGACGAGAAGTTAGTTGTTGATGCATCATCTGACGTGGCTATCAGAACATCCATCCCCGAAATGAGTGAGTTAACAGCTTGTTTGTGGGTAAAAACAAAAGAAACCAACCAGGGCACGCCAATATCTTATGCTATCAGTGGAAGCTATAATGAGTTCACCCTATTCGATACCACTGATTTGAGAGTCGTTGTACGAGACAGTAGTGGTGGAAACAGTGGTATTGATGTGAATGATGATGATTGGCACCATTTGTGTGCCACGTGGTCATCTAATGGAGGTATATGGGGTATCTATGATGATGGTGCTTTGGCTGCATCTGGTTCAGGTCTTCGGAGTGGTAGTATAATCAGAGGAAGTGGTGTACTGGTACTTGGCCAGGAACAAGACAGCTTCCGTGGTGGATATCAATCTAGTCAAGCATTGAAAGGAGAGCTGGCATACTTTAATACGTGGAGCAGAATTCTGAGTGAGGATGAAATAGGGCACCTCGCAGCAGAGTGTAATGGTGAAACAGAAGGTGACCTGTTTGCTTGGAGTTCGGGTGAAATTGATCTAGATGGTCGTTATGAAACTCTACCAGCTGATGTATGCTGTAAGTTTTAGTAATATTGTTGACAGTTTTTTGTCTGATCTAGTTGTTTATATGCTATACCATGTTACCATACATACAATGTCACATCTATGCTCTATTGATGCACAATTAGGTGATTCCAGCAAAAAACTTTGGTCACAGCATAGATATTTGTTTGAATCTCTCCATATTCAATATAAAATTTTATGTAGGGTGTTCAATTGTGCAATGGTAGAAATAATGCGTATATCGTTTTTACTTTTGGATTTATAGACGCGATACTTTTTTTTGCTACAATACTTTGAGCTCCTGGTTGTTTATATTAATCAAGACGTATATAATAACACAATGATGAATATCTTATTAATATCATGTACAGCATAGAAACTCAATTTTGCCAATGCTTTTCATTTCAGACCTGATTAGTTTTAGGTTAAAATCCGTGAATATTAATTATCTATTTTGCATAATAATTTACCAATTTGTTGCTTTTCCATTGAAATCTCAAAAACTAATCACTCTATTTCAAGAAGCTTGGTACATATATGCTCTGGGGTAGTGCACAGACATGCAATATTATGCATAATTAAAATGTCTCAGGTACTGTTGCAGATAGAAACAATTCTATAATTGCGCTGTATATGACCAAAATGTTAAATCATCAAATATGGTCATGATTTTATTGAATATTCATAATCCTTATTTAATAGCCCTTTAGAACCACCCTGATCACTGCTTGCATATTTTTAAATGCCGTATTAGAAGCCGATGTGTCCACATGTAAATGACAAGGCCATGTCTGCGGTCAAAATAAGACATATTTCAATGGATATTCATCCAATAAAAGCAATTTTTGTTTTAGGTATATTGAAGATGTGATTCAAATATAGTGAATATTTGGACTTCGTGTCATGAACACTTTTAGCGAACAAAAGTTATTTTCCAGCTTTCTTAGATTTCCATTCAATTAGTGTATAATATATTACCACACATTATTAGTAGATATTATAAATTGATGTTTTTGTTTTTTTTTTCAATTCAGTTGCTACTCCATGGACAGGCAATGAGAAAATAGTTGTTGATACATCGTCCGATGTGGCTATTACCACACCCATCCCTGAACTGAGAGACGTGTCAGCTTGTTTGTGGGTAAAAACAAAAGAAACCAACAAGGGGACACCAATATCCTATGCTATCAGTGGAAGCTATAATGAGTTTAACATATTCGATACCAGTGATTTGAAAGTCCATGTACGAGACAGTGATGGCCGCAACACTGGTATTGCTGTGAATGATAATGACTGGCACCATTTGTGTGTCACGTGGTCGTCTATTGATGGCATATGGGGTATTCATGATGGTGGTGCCTTGGCTGCATCTGGTTTTGGTCTGCAGAGTGGTAACGTAATCAGAGAAGGTGGTGTATTGGTACTTGGCCAAGATCAAGACAGCTTACGTGGTGGATACGAGTCTAGTCAGGCATTGAAAGGAGAGCTGGCATACTTCAATATGTGGAGCAGAATTCTGAGTGATGACGAAATAGGGCAACTCGCAGCAGAGTGTAATGGTGAAACAGAAGGTGACCTGTTTGCTTGGAGTTCGGGTAATATTGATCTTGATGGTGGTTATGAAACGCTTCAAGCTGATATATGTCGTAAGTTATTATATTAGTGATGCCTAGTTGTTAATGTTTTCTACTCTACAGAGCGAGTGTTTTTTTACAGACATTACCATGCAAAATACAAACAGATATGGGCAGTTTCGTGTTAGATCTGTTGGTCATACCATACTTGTAATACAAACGTAGCCCTATTTAATATAAACAATAATAAAAACACTCAATGGTGCAATGATTTTTATAAGCAGTGCCCCAGCCACCTTTTCAATTTATACATGCAATCTCCCCCAATAGTAAATATATCACATCGTATAATAATTATGAAATGAAATGTTTCTTTAAATTCAGTTCAATGGGTTGGTAATGAGAAGTTGGTTGTTGGTGCATTGTCTGACGTGGCTATTAGAACACCCATCCCCGAGCTGAGTGAGTTATTTGCTTGTATGTGGGTAAAAACGAAAGAAACCAACCAGGGGACACCAATATCTTATGCTATCAGTGGAAGCTATAATGAGTTCATCCTATTCGATACCAGTAATTTGGAAGTTGTAATGCGAGACACCAATGGGGGCAACAGTGGTATTGCTGTGAATGATGACGAATGGCACCATGTGTGTGTCACGTGGTCATCTAATGGTGGCATATGGGGTATATATGATGATGGTGCTTTGACTGCATCTGGTTCAGGTCTTCGGAGTGGAAGCGTAATCCGAGGAGGTGGTGTTCTGATACTTGGCCAAGAACAAGACAGCTTACGTGGTGGATACGAGTCTAGCCAGACATTGAAAGGAGAGCTGGCATACTTCAATATGTGGAGCAGAATTCTGACTGATGATGAAATAGGGCAACTCGCAGCAGAGTGTAATGGTGATACAGAAGGTGATCTGTTTGCCTGGAGTTCGGCCGATATTGATCTTGATGGCACTCTTGAGAAACTGCCATCTGATGTATGTCAGTAGTAATGATACTAACAACACAATTGTGTATCTGATTTATTCATACTTATCATTCGTGCACTTGCAAATTATTAATAGTAAAGTTTTATGTAGGACATTACTACTGCTGTACAGCATCCATTTGTGCATTGTTTAATATAATATCAAGCACAAGAGATGTTCAGTTGACTGGTAAAAAAATGATTTATTCATAGATTATCACAGACAATATAACTTGTATAAAGCTGGCTAATTATTTCTAATAGGGTAATAAGGTGTAACTTTTAAGACCAGTAATAAATATATCGCATCTACTGTAGCTCAATAATGTCTTATTGTGAATCTGGAAATTGTATGAAAAAGGACAATTAGGATAAATTTATTCTTATCCATATTATGTATTTTTGCGATGCAAACTACAGAAATAGTACGATAATTTTTAACTGAACTCAACTCTAAATGTTGGTTTGATTTCTTGTATATGAATACTATCTATGTGTTTAACATTTAAAAACATTATTCAATTACTTGAATTGCGTCTATTTTCAGGTGTAAAAGAAATGTATTGTTATTCACGCTATCGGGCTCTTGTTCGGTTTATGTGCTCAACAAACAAGGAAACAACTTAAAAATCACACTGTGACGTCACATGCGTCACCATCGTACGAATATCTGATAACAGTGCCGCTTACCGATCAGCAAAGATCGCATTCTGTTATGACAAAGTTGTCAGCAAGCTGTTTTATTAACACTTATTAACAGTGACATATACATGGGTATTTAATATCGACAACAACGAAAAACGATGCGAACGATCGGTCCTTGCCAACCAGTTACTGCGCATGCGGGCGAAACAAGTGTGACGGTCAATAGCGTTATCACTGTCAAGGCTGCAATCATGCTGTTAACTGCAGATATACAAAATACTGGTCCAGGCTACTTAAATCATTATTCTCGGCATACCGCTGTACAATGAGACATTTCACAATTACGCCCACTATTACTCGTTGATTTGTATTAAATCATGCAATACTTGCATCACAAAAATCAGTAATATGGCAATATCAAATACAAAATAGGTCAAAGTTCATAACACCAGCTCGTAATATAACACCGGTAATAAAGCATGTACACTGATGATACTGTCTGTGCGTTAAACGAGTTAAAAAAATTGCATTAAGTTGACAATTCTCGATATAAAGGTTTACAATCCATCGCTTTATAGACGATCATTACATTAAATGAACGAATTCAGTCTACGTACAATATATGATTCTGATTAATTAAAATATCTTAAGTTTGTTTGAATCAATAAATGATTGATATTGATTAGGCATTGATGGATTACACAAAACACAGTAAGTCCTGCTTATAGACCCGTGAGGAAACTGAATTGCGTCAAACATCATTTCAGTTTAAGTACACCAATGGAACAAGCATCAAGTAACAATTCTGATTATAATGACTGACAAGTATATTCCATTTATTTATTTATTTGTTTATTACTTTCTTCATTTCTTTCAGTTTAAGTACCCTAATGGATACAATCATCTAGTAACAGTTTCTAAAGACAAGATTGTTTCATGTATTTGTTTGTATTATTATTTGTTTATATTTTTTTTTTATTTTTTTTTATTTATTTATTACTTTCTTCATTGTTTCAGTATATTACACTAATGGATACAATCATCTAGTAACAGTCATGGTTTCTGAAGACAAGATTGTTCCATGTATTTGTTTGTATTATGTCTTTATTTATTTATTTATTTATTTCAGTATACCAATGGAAACATAGTATTAAACACTCATGGTTCAGAACAAACAATGTTCCTTATATTTACTCCAAAACAAGGATGTTCAATTCAAAGTATATGCAAAGCGGATAAATTTGTTGATAGAGGAATTAAAACAAAACTAAATGAATTTCGAAATTCTACAGCACTGTTTCACACTCCTTAGGATCTTTATATTTAGTGTTTTG